ACTTTAACACACATTTCTCTGAATATTTTATTTCTTTATGATTTAAATTCAGATTATATTTTATATATTTATTAAACATCATGCAGCATAATAATTTAAATAAATATGATATAAATAAAGATATGATTACAGTACATGTACTCCATGTCAGATTTAGTTCATTATTGTCTTAACTTTGTTCATCAGCTGTAGTTCACTTGTACAACCACTAGGGGAGTCTTTCTTACATCTCTTCCCTATAATCCTGTTTGAATCCAGACCTCTACCGGGATCAGGATAATCCTCATGTTTTTGGATCAAGGTAATCCGGATCCTACTCCGAAGTTTTGAACCAGGATAAAACCTGGATTAGATCACCTGATTTGATCTGATATGTGATCCTGTGTTTCCTTTGAACAGCCGAGTGAGAGTGAAGAACTTCTTTAAACCGATAGATCATCATGCAGTAAATAAAGAAAGAATAATAGCAGTCTGTCAGTAGAGAGATGCGGACACAGAGGTGTTACAGTTTTATCAAAATCACACAAATATGAGCTCAATCATTTAATTCTTCATATTTTAAAATGTGTTGATGTCATCAGACAAACAGGAGATTACAGATAACAGTCAGAAATAAAACACAACGTTTGAACAGTGTAAGGTCTAAAGACATTAAAACAGAAGAAAAGTTTCTCACCTTTCTCTTGTTTGTTTCTCTCTCTCTCTTCAGCGTGTGTCTGTCTTTAAACTTCTTTCAATAACAGTCAGCCGTTGTGTTGGGAGCACGCCTCCTCAGTTTCCTTTGCACACACACACACACACACACACACACACACACACACACACACACACACACACACACACACACACACGCACACACGCACACACACACACACACACACACACACACACACACTTTCATGTAACTGTCTCATATAAAACATGTTCTGCAAATTGGGGTTGTGTGTCAGTGCTGCCGCCTGCTGGGCTTACTGAGAATTGCAGCTAAAAACAACTCAGCACACACACACACACACACACACACACACACACACACACACACACACACACACACACACACAACTTAACATGCTTGGGCACTGTACAGTCCTCCTTCTAACTTTAGATTCTGCTCCTGAATGCTCTGGATTTGTTTGGACCAGAGAAGGTAGGCGCTTTTAAGACCCCCCACCACACGGCCGTTTTGGACACCCCTCTGTTTGTCAGATATGAGAGCAGTTATCAGGTCAACAGGTGATGCAGCGATGGAAGCGGTCAAGAGAAGTGGTTCAGATAGAAGTGATTGTACCCGACCTAAAAAGCCTCTGCATGTTTCTAATAAGCTCCACGAGCAGAAACGTGCTCAAACTAGGATCAATATTGGAGATGCTTTTGAAAAATGGAGAGAGGTTAGAACACAGAAAGGTTTACAGACCCATGCAGAGCTGGATAAACACTGAAGCTTCAGAGTCCACCACATGGTGACCTGAGTGAGAGGGGGGGGGGGGGCATTTTGTCAGAAGATAATTTTGCAGTTCTGTCTCCATCCTGCAGGGGGCGCTGCTGCAGCGTTTGCTCTCAGTGCTGCTGCTTCATGTTCCTGCACAGAAGAAGAAGAGGGAGCGAACCAGAGGAGGAGGGAGGAGGAGGAGGAGAAGGAGGAGAAACAAAGGGAGCTGTGCAGATTTTTAACAAACGTGAAAAATGTGTGAAATGCAAACGAGGATCCGGTGAGGATTCAACCGACGGACCGTTTCTTCTTCTGCGTGTGAGACAGATTCACCATGGTGAGCGTGCATGTTTACAAACACACACACACACACACACACACACACACACACACACACACACACACATAGAGACACGCAGACAGATGATGGAGAGGATCATAACAGCTGGATTAAACCTGCAGCATCACAAACTGCAGACGATCGTGAATCGGTGAGAAAGTGAACCGGGGTGAAAACAGAAATCTGAGAGTGTGCTGCTCATCTGGACCTGATTTAACCAGAGGGCTGGGTTCAATCATCACATCTGTTCTGGATACACACAAATATCTGAGTTTATTCAGGAAGAAATGCTTCACTTTGAAAGATACCTGAATTTTAAACTTAATGATGCTAATCAAAATCAAATGTTTATCATATTTATTTTGGTATAGCATCACTGTTTCTGTTTTTCTTAAAAGTCTCATGATTCTGTTTTCATCCTAAAAGCTGAGCAGGGCTGCAAATAATCTCTGACTGGAAACCTGCAGCACGGCATCGACTTTGTGTTTTACATATGACGCGATGTTAACGGCATGTGTCCCCGTTAGATAAACAAATAAACAAATAAACAAATAAAATAAACACATCTATCAGAGCCCGACCGATTTATTTGTTTGATAATATCGGCCGATATTAGAATACAACGTGACTATCGGTATTGGCTAATTTTTCTCAGATATGCTCCAATATTACTTGATTATTACTTGGAGTTTAATTTATCACACTAGCAGTTCTCAGCAGTCACCACTAGAGGGCGCTATATGGATTACAACAAACAGCATCACTCTGCAGAGTGTCGAGCGGTGATGTACGTTCATGTTCAGTTACTTTTCAGTTGAGTGACCATCTTGTCTTCATTATAAATCTTTTCTATAAGTGTTTGATAACTGAGGGATCAACACTATAAATGTCTTTATCTATATCTATCTATGTCAGCAGATTGAAGATAGATCTAATGAAGATATCAGTATGTGTTTTTTCTCTTCCTAATGTTGAATCTCATATCGGTCGGGCTCTAATATCTAAACATCTTCAGAGGAGATCCAGAGGAGCAGAAATAAAAGTCGTAGACACAAAACTGATTGAAGATTAGAGAGGAAATACACTCTGATTGATTGAGAAGTCACTTTTTGTCATGTCTCTGTTTGTTCTATGTTTGTGTGTCAGTCTGAGGAGGGTGCAGGGGCAGAGCTAGACCCGCAGGAGGAGGAGGAGGAGGAGAAGGAGAAGAGAGGAGGGCCAGGAGGAGGAGGAGGACCAGGAGGTCGGGAGGACCAGGAAGAGGAGGAGGACCAGGAAGAGGAGGAGGAGGACCAGGAAGAGGAGGAGGACCAGGAAGAGGAGGAGGACCAGGAGGGGGAGAGGGAGGTGAACAGGGAGGAGGAAGAGGGCCCGCCAAGAAAACCCCAGGAGGTCCTGTGTACTGTGTCTGCAGGAGACCGGACATCAACTGTTTCATGATGTAAATAAAACTACAACCTTCTTCTCCAGTCTTTAAATGACAGAAAACATCTACAAACTGCTCACACATACCGCTCTCTCTCTCTCTCTCTCTCTCTCTCTCTCTCTCTCTCTCTCTCTCTGTCTCTCTCTCTCTGTCTCTCTCTCTCTCTCTCTGTCTCTCTCTGTTGTCTCTCTCTCTCTCTCTCTCTGCTCTCTCTCTCTGTCTCTC